CAGAGATAAGCTCTTGCCATAAAGAAATTCCACCCCTAGCATAACAGTTTGCATTCAGTATAGGTCCTGGAGGCATGGACCTTACTCCAGTAGAGAAAGAAAAGGATTGTTCCCAATATCGGGCACACGAACCCCTTAATATGTCTCAGTAAAGACGAGTTCCTAGCCCCTGACTTTGAATGCCAGCAGGAAATGCACACAGAAGAATCAAAAAACTATAGTGAAAGAATAACCTGCTCTTAAAGTTTCCATGCACAAACTCACTCACCCTGAGACTCAGGCAGTAACGCCAGTCAAAAAAGCACTCAAACCATAAATGAAAGAATCCCACTTGCAATCTTATAACATCTGACTGAGGCAGAAAATGTTAGGGCTGATCCCTGGGTCAGAAATAATGGTGAGTGCTATCTTGTCAGCCCCTCTTCTCAAAACCTTGAAAATACAAGGACTTATGGATGCCATTTGGATGCTGTCCCTCAAACCTACTTTATAAAACCTGTGGATAAGCCCCACCGTGAACTCTCTCAATCCTGCAATACAGCAGTATGTCAGAGGTCCACATCTGAAAAATGTGTAAAACTCCATGCAAGACCACCAGCAGCTTCCAATGGCACATTCTAGTGTCATATACTTGGTCTCCAGATGACATGTGAGCCAGTTCACAAGCTGTACTAAGATTGGACTGTTCATTCAGCACTGCCTACTCAGCACATAATAGTGACATGCCTCAAGTTAGCCCAGCCATTGTGATGTAGCAGATGAGCTGATCAAAGCATAGTATACAATGCTACCTTGACAGAATATAGGCAGACAGGTATGGGATGCATTATGAGTGTTTGACTTGGGTAGACAGAGGAGAATGAAATCCTGAACTCAATGGAATTATGACCTGTACAACAGATCATAACCAAGAGAGGTAAAAAATTTGCCTGAAACAAACAGGCAAATGCGGGAAATCAGGTAAAATAGGACATTAGAGGAACAGATCCCAAATAAAAGAACAAGACACACCCCAAGAAAGAGCTTTTAAAGATAAGAAAGTAAGTAATATACCTGATAAAGATTTGAAAATAATGATTATAAAGATACCAAACTTGGGGGAAATGATAGATGAACTAGAAAAATTTTAATATCCGAATGGAAGTTAGACAGATGATGAATACAATAACAGAACTGGAAAATCAACAGAGAGATTCAAGATTGAAGCATAAGAAAAGCTAGTGAGCTGGAAGAAAAAGCAGCAAAACGAAAAATGTTTTAAAAGAGTGAATGATCTTGGAACAACATCAAGAGAAATAATATTTACATTACCCAGGCCCCAGAAGGTGAAGAGAGACAGAAAGGATCTGAAAATGTATTTGAGAAAATGATGCCTAAGAATTTGCCAAATCAGGATATAGATACACAAGTACAGGAAAACAGATTTTTTCAAGAGGAAACCAAAGAGCTATTTCCCAGGATACATTGTAATTAAAACAAAGAAAGACAAAAGAAAAAGTAGAATTTTTAAAACAGCAAGATGTTTGTCATATCCAAGTTTACATAGTTTTATGTTTACAGACAGCCAAATATGAGATTATATACAGTTGACCTTTGACCAACATGTGTTTGAACCATATCATCCATTCTGTGCAGACTTTCTTCTAAACAGATGGTGTAGAGTGATAATAGAATATGGTGCTATAAATATATTCTCTTTCATAATATCTTAATAGCATTGTTTTAGCTTAATTTATTGTAAGAATACAATAAAATAACATACAGAAAATATGAGAAATTGATAGATTATATTGTCAATAATACTTCCAGTCAAAAGTTATTTCCCACTAGCCGTTTCTAATTGTATAAACAAATTTCTCCCTTTTCTCTTGAGTGGGTCAGCTTGTGCTTTGTTAGAGTTGTAGTGGGTATATGTAGATATGGGTTGTGTGCTTTGAAAGAATAAAGAAAATGCAGAAATTATAGTGAATTTCCCAACTCAAATGGCTAGGAAATCAGACAAAACCCAACAAAAATTAAACAGAATAAAATATCTAAATTTGAAGCAGATGTGAACTAGGTTATGAACAGAAAAACATAAAACTAATAAGTGAAAGAAATAATGTTTATTCTTTCAATGCACACACACACACACACACACACATCTATACATGCTCACAACAACTGAAACAAAGCACAAGCTTACCCACTCGAGAAAAGGGAGAAATTTGCTTATACAATTAGAAATGGCTAGTGGGAAATAAATGAAGGACATTTTAATATATCTTTAGAGAGCATTTTGCAGAATTCTGCATATATAATTGAAAAATTAAGATAAAATGAGCAATCACAAGAGGAAATATACTTAGCCAAAACTGTCCACAGGAGAGACAGAGAATTTGAAAAACTAATGACATAGAAGAAATAGAATATTATCCAAGAACTGCACCACAAAAAAAACACATGATTTCACAGGAGAATCTCATCAGACTTTCAAAGTTGATGCTAACACAGTTTATATTTTCTATGGAAATATAGTTGTTTTAAAAGCCTTTCACAATATTCAAACCCAGTTTCTGGTTTGCAAATGTGATAACATGTTCTTCACACAGATATATACACACATGCACACATGTCTCACTTCAAAATCAAATATAGCAGCACTCCTATAAGCTAAAGCACAAGAAAGGTGCTCACTTATTTCAAGTTAACATTTTAAAGTTTGCCTTTGACCCTTTGTTTAGTTTTTTGTTCTAAAAAAAATAAGTGATACCATAGGATGTTTCTCTTTGTCCTTTTGGTTTATTTCATGTAGCATAATCCCTTCCATATCCATCCATGTTTACTGCAAATGGCATGAGTTTATCACTTTTGATCACTGTATAGTATTTCATTTTATATATATATATTTTTTTAAAGATTTATTTATTTATTCATACAGAACTGGGGTACAGGCCAGAGG